GATGGTCCCTGAGGTCCCTCCCTGCTGCGTGCCGATGGCTGGGGCTCCGCCGTTTTGCCGACCCCTCGCTATTCTGCGACCAGCTGCTGCCGTCGCTGGGCTCATCGCCCGACGACTCCCCTCCCTGGTCCACACCTCCGCGAGCTCGTGTGAGAGGCATAGCTCGCCGCCCGCTCTCGTTCACCTGTAATCGCTGCGTTGTTTCTCCACCAATCTCACGCTCTGAACGGGGGTCAGGGGTCGGAGGGCGAATGACGCTGCCCTCACACCGCGTGAGTCCCTGCGGCGATAGACGGAGCGGGTACCTGTGGACGCACCGACCCCCCCCCCCCCCCCCCCCACGCTACGAGCGCACACACATGCACACAGCACCACGCGCTCCACTGACTCGTAAGACCACTCGAGGCTGCGCTGGGTTATTTATGGTTTATTTTCGGCTACCTGGGAATTTATGTCAAATCAGTATGAATCGACGAAGCTGGCCTATTCCACTACCCCTGGACCTATTCCCTATTTATCGGCTTATGATACTAATTCACCTTCTTACTCACGGTTAGGTGCCCACGGCGGTCCGTTGATCCTGTCCTCGCTGCGTACCTCGATGCATCTTACGGACGTCCGGATCGCTGGGCTGGAGAGCGTCTCGTGGCCTGATGCTGGAGCAAGAGAGGGATCTACCCGTTTTCGCCCCCTTTTTATCGTCCCTACATCAAAGAGATGCTGCTCCGCCTGTTGTGGTGCCCTCCCAGTTTTTCTTTAACAATGGGCATGCGCCAGTCAGGGTGCGTGCGGCAGTTCCGGGCGCCTTTGCTATGCTAATCAGATGCGCTGCGTGTTGCGGCGTTTATTCTAATTATGCTCCTCCATAACAATGCTTATGCTCGGCGCGTATTCAAATTAGTCCTATACTCATGCCCCTCTGCCTGCTCCGTCGATACGTGCATGCGTGGGGTGCGTTTCACCCGCGGTGGCCGAGTGGCTCCTCGCCGCGACCTTGCAATCTTAATGCCGGTCGCAGTGCCGTGAAGTAGCATCGGGGGAGGTTGCCCAATTCCCTGGTCACTGGAAACCGTGAAAGTCATCCCGATAAGGGCTTCTCGGATTAAAACCGGTCGGCCAATTGACTTCCCCTCAGAGCTCTATGGGGGGGGGGGGGGGGGGGAAATGCGTGCGGGTGTGTTCATGTGAGGTGAGGTGGGGGGACGCGGGGGTCGGCTCCGTCACTTGGTGGTGGCGAGGTCGGGGATGGGGCGCCCGTCGAGCGGCTTCGTGGCGGCGGCATCACACGGAGAAATTAGCTCCGTTGCTTGACTAAGATGGGGCACTGTCAGGGTGAGTGTTTCTTCCTGAACCAGGTGGCTGCTTCAGGTTTTTTATTTTTGTTGACAATGCCCCATTCTTCTGGCAGGGCTGGTGATTCGTTATCGCGAGTTCACTACAACTTTGCTACAAACCTCTCATTTAAAATGTTGATTGCTTACTTTTAAAATTGACACCTCCAAACCCACTCGTGATATCGTTGGACTTTTTTTTTATCAGTATTAAAGTATGAAAACGTAAAAAAATAGGTTTTACCCTTTCTGGCAATAAAACAGATGTTAATATTTCGATTTAAAGCTTTCGTGACTGCAGGGATTCATCTTTAAGAAGATGTTAAGATGTTCAAACATCAAATAGAAACCTCTTGCAAGGAATCAAGTCTGTCTTTATACTGTTCGCCTTTTGGCGTTCTCTGGTCTGCCACTGGTGAGACTAGACCCTACGGAAAGCTGTCTCTGGTGTCGGCCAAATCAGTTACAAATACAATGCCGCACATTATAAGAGCGTGTTTTGTTTGCATATTCGCCACAAGTACGTGTGGTTAATGCAGTAACTTCATTCTTTGCAGCAGAATGTCCCAAGGATCCGTCAGGCCTCCTCATCTGTGAAGGATGTCGTTCCTGACTTACAGTATCCTGGAGTCTACAAATTGAGTTGCATTTGTGGTGATAGCTACATTGGAGAAACGAAACGTCATGTTTCTGATTGTGTCCGCGAGCACAAGTCAGATCTGAAACACGGCAGAACTGATTCTTCGGCCGTTGCCGATCATTGCTACAACTCGGTGGGCTCTCATGAAATTGTCTTTTCTGAGACCAAGGTTCTCTGCAAACCTCCTGGCTACCATCAAAGGTTTGTACACGAAGCCATACAAATATACAAACACAGACATAATTTCAACCGTGATGATGGTTACAAACTGAGTAATCATTGGAAAGATGTGATCAACCATGCAAAAAAGATTTAACTACACTTATTTGACCAATCTTATTTGACAGACAACTATTACAGGTTTACCATGTTTCTCCTTTTCACACTATTGTTAGGTAGGCCAGGTTGAGTCACAAACCGTACCTCTCCATAACAAAGGCTCACCCTCTTAAGCCTCACCTTACCATATGAATAAAAAGTGTGCTGCACTTGCCCCTTCCCCCCTCTCCAACCATTATATAAACGGAGTGGTAGCTCTTGTAATCTCTCATTTACTTGATACAGCTGTCGTGGTTGTGACGGTTCCACCTGAAGACAGAGGCTTGTGTTGCCTCCGAAACGTCGTGATTTTTATTTTATTTTACTTTTATTAATTTTAATGTTTTACCTACATGACTTTACCGAAAAAACCTGAGAGTATTTAAATGTTTGTTACCTCAACATTCACGTTGAATCCAGAAAGTGTGCTTTTGCCAAGGAATTTCTGGGGGGTAAATTTGGTGCTGCTTCTCTGCTTGGCTGCTGCCTTCCCGCTCGTCTGTGGTTCCTCCTCAAGCCTCTGAGCCGTTCTTTCACTTGGTGAAATGGAGTATAACTGTGCGATTCCTTACGAGTATAAATAATTATTATCATGTAGCTCGGTGGGAACATCTCTTAGAGCTCCACAACTCCTCTCCACACACGAGGGGGTGGGTAGCCGGCACCACGCCCGGCCGCCCGGTCTCCCCAACGGCGATGTTTCCACATCGCACCAGGCACTCGTTTGAGGCAGAGTCGACCTAGGGGGAGGCCCAGGACCGATTCAGATAATTGTCACTGGTGTTGGCTGTGAATGTAAATCGAACTCGAGTGGCTGGATTCGTAGCAGAGCGCGTTAACCGCAGCACTACCGATCCCCTAATACCCCCAATACCCCCACCCTCCACACACCAATTCATAATTGTCCCCCGTTTTGCAATGCTTTTAGTGAGACTCTATTAAAGCCGTTACAATACAGGATGGGTGCTGTGACCAGAACTATGCCTGGCCACCTTGATTTTATTTGAGTTGAAGTTTTTACACCGTGCCAGGTATCAACTTACGGCTGAGTATCACCCTACAGGAGGCCCAGGTAGCAACCCTTCCACATGAACGCACGCACACCCCTACTAAATACACACACGCACCCATGTAGGGTCTCGTGGGGGGGTCACCTGGTACCATGGGTTTTTACCCGAGGGGCCCCTAGCGGGGATGTCCCACGGTTTCCCAGTGCCAGGAGATTGGCCAAACCCCTCAGGCCGAATTGCATTGCAGCCCCCGTGAATTAGCTTAGAATTGAATGGGCACGACGAAGCTCACCGAGCGAACCGCAATGAGAACACTCACAGCACAGAGGGATAGGGCTTCTAGGGCAAACCCTCAGCAAGCAGCGCATAAGAGGAGGTGGAAGGGAAATTCCTGGACTGACTGCAGCTGCGAAAGCTGCAGGATGGGGTGGGAGGACGGGGGCATAGACAGTGGATTGAGGCATAATGGGAAGCAACGCTCCAGGTAGGGGGCGGGGCATCGGTTTAAAATCGAAAGGTAGGCACCCGATTGGCCGCGCAGGATAACACCACGTGACCCTGAATCTTTGGATTCCGACGGCATAAAAGGAGGGAGGGAGAGCAGTTTTCCTCTAGCCGTTGAGCTGCCCGGTCCGACTCCCAGCCGCTCGCAGCGTCCGAGCGACGCTGGCGAGTGCCGCTACGACTCAACCCCTCTCGTACCCTCGTCCCTCCGACTCCCACCGCGTCCATATGACCCCGTGAGTCTGTCTGCGAGGGGAGAAGTAGAGGGAGAGTACACGCAGGGATTGAATAGGGAAAGGCTCGGCGCTGCTCGTTGAGTATTTACCCTGGGCTGCAACAAGGCTTGCTATAGACGCGCCGTTAATCAACTTTAGCACAGAGCACCGACGCCGCGTGATGTCTGTGTGTGGGAGAGTGTCGGCGTGGTGCGTAATTCAAGCGGGTGTGTGGGAGGCACGCGGGCAGTAATTCATTAACGGCTCCCGCGTCAGTGTAGCGGCGCCGCACGATTAATAGGGCGAGGGAGGGGTGATTTAAAACTCGTTTGCGTGCGTGTTTACACAGCGCGTTTAACACAATGTGTTCAGGTAGCGACCATAGCATTTAGCAGTGGAGCACACGTAGATTACCATCAATACGGCCGTCGTCGTGCCCGCGTGTTTGCGCTAGCATGCGTGTTTGCACAGCGGATTAAGGCCGACCCAACAGGAGGGGGAGATGCGCGTCAATATTTATACGGCTATTTTTAGCGCGAGCCATGGTGAGCAAAGGTGCGCCTATGCGTGCACGCAGCCACCTCCGCATTAGTGGTGGTGTACGTGGGGAGTGTGTGGGATAACTCCGGGCGGTGGTGAGCCAGCCATTAGCCATGTCCCTCAGAGAGGGCGCTGGTGCGGGGGGGGGATCACCCGATCGGCGGCGGCCCGGCGAGAGGAGGAGGGGGGAGAGGAGGAGGGGGGCGCCAGCCCCCACAGCACTCGCCACTCACGTTGGCTGTGACAGGGAGGCAAACTCGAGTCGCGCTGTACAGACCATGGTGCCACCGATCTCCTCCACATACACAGACTCACACACGCTCACTCAAATGAGTCGTGTTTAATATCATAGGATTTGCGTTTATTCATACAAGATATATGTCAGATATATTTCAAAGTTCATTGCGATTGAACAAACAACTCCATGATCACAATTACCCAAGTTACATGCATCAGCAATACCCCACAGACGACATTAACTGCATATCAAGATAACGCCAATCATTAGCATCATGAGAAACACAATTAGATGCATGTTATCGTTAATTAATGTTAAGACAAATATCTAAACATTATGTTAAATCATCAAAAACATTAAAAGTCAAGCAAACTAGTCTAGAGAGTCATCTGATTATGCACAATTACAATTCACCACGCTTACATAATGTTTGTATTCACCGCGGGGACTAATTTAATTACAAGTGATTGGCTTTCGAGGCCCAACACTGACAAATACGAATCGGTTTGCCATGATGCTTTTTTCACGATGCGATTCGAAACGGCTTAAGATTTGTCGATAATAATTGAAATCTCGCACGGTGACAGGGCCACGTTCATGTAAACTCATTTAGATTGTTTTCAAAAAAAGTGGCAAAGTTTTCTCTTTCAAACTAGAGCAGGGTGATAATAACATCCAATCATCGCCTCATATCTATTTTAAAACCTTAAGCCAGCAACGTAACATCTACATTCCAATGGCAGAAGCTTGTAACTGAATGTGGCAAAGTGGTGCGAATTTTATGCAATGTGGAAAATGAAGGAGATTGGTCGGGTCCTTGACTGTAACCATAATTCCTCATTTTTAAATATTTTTATTTTATGACAATGGAGTTTGTATTTATACAGCGTCTAAATGCCATGCATCTCAAGACGTAGTACAACACAATGGTACATGTGCATCATGGGGGAGAAAATTAGGTGTGAGTATTTACTCGCCTTGTTTGTGTGATTATGAACGCGACAATCAACAATGGGAACCTTACGATTTTTATATAAACAAGTTACAAATTAAATTTCGATTTAAAGCTTTCGTGACTGCAGGGATTCATCTTCTTGGTTCTTTTGGTAAAGTCACGTTACTTTACCGAAAGAAAGAACCAAGAAGAAGTGATTTTTTTTTTACAATGGCACGTTTGCATAATTGCTAAACTACGTAATGCCCTACAGTAAAGTTATCTTTACAATGCAGGCTCCTGTGTTTTCACTTCGCATCTTGTAAAACTACGTTTTTATCTTTTGAACATATCTAAGACAATGAGTAGGTTGAGCCTGGATAGCGCTTAAATGATCAATCACGATGTTTGAGGTCTGTCGGTATATTGTGGTCAGCCGAGAGCAGTGTGTTCACGTAACATATTAAGATAACTAAGTAAGTTAGGTTATTTGTGAATGGAAGGGGTGCCATTTACGAGAATTATGAATGGATGTTAAACACGACAAGTCCGAGCAACTCAGTGAAATTCCAGAGCGTTTTCTTCCAATTTGGCAAACGTGGAGGTGGTTTCCTTTCGAAGCACGAAGCAATCCAAGATCTAAAGTCCCATCCCTATGTTGACTAATCTCAACATTCATCAACATCATCTCTATCGACTAACTGACATTATCTATGACAATGTATTGGCCGAATGGTGCTACCCAATGATAAAGTTACTGCAATTCAGTCTTATGCCATTGTTAATTATGATATTTACGATGAGAGAACTACAACAGATATATCATTCCCATTAATTGTGAATATAAACTTAAAGGCACTTTTGTCAGATGATAGAGATTAAATGGATTACTGTACATAAAAGTATATGTAAAATACAAAAAAGGAAAGGACAAACTGAGTTTAAATTCAGCAATTGTTCCCATTTGTTAACGTATCAATAGTGTTCAAAATAAAATTTTCCGCAAGTCTGCAATCGCCTCTTCCCTTGTAATTTTTTTCCAGCTCTCTGGAATGGCACCACTGCCTTCGAATTGCAAAATGTGAAGCTTCTCTAGGTCCGACTTAAATTTGCAGACAAACCATTTCCAATATGGCTGCTCAGTTAAGACTGGCGTGATGCTCCAACTTTCATATTCTGGCCCTGCTGCACGATAATTCTTGTATGGTATGTTCTTGCCTTCTGGAAGCGTTAACATGGAGTTACTGTCAACTAAACTTGTACAACTATCAATGACAAAATAACTCGTGTTACACCAATGTATACCATTCACTCCCTGTGGCCGATGAATCTGAACGCTGTGGTCCTTATGATTTGGTATCGTGTTTGTGCAGATGGCTTTACAGAATGGGCACTGCACCCAGCACCCACTCATCTGTTCACGCAGCATGTCATGAGGTGTGTTCCTTCCGTCTTCTAAATCTTGTAAGGATGCTTTAGAATATTGTTCGTTCAACTGTGCCACCATGGTTCTGAATGATTTGGTAAGTTCATCTCCAAAGTAGGCGATGTCATCAATGTCTTTGTAGTGAGCTCTAACCAGACTCTGCCTTGGTAAATGGATTCTGTTGTCAAGCTGTTTATGAAATTCTTCCAGCCACGATGATGCATCGCCGTTGTTTCTTTGGACAGCTGTTGATGCATAAATAATTGCATGAAAAACATAGTTTCCGTAAAGCTCAAGACATGATCGTAATATTGTACCAATGATCTTATTTTGATCTGCTGAGCAATATTCTTCAACATATTCTGAAATGTATTTTTCAAAATATATGTTTGGTGTATCAATGTATAAATTATATTCCCGAAATAGTTCCTTCTCTGCTAAATGTATCATGATGTACTTTTCTAAATTTGATCGATTGCCATTGAATTCCGGACATTCAGACTTAATTTTGCTTGCAATGTCAATTCTGGCTTTGTCACAGACTGCCTGGTGCATGGCTGTTTTAAGTTTGCTGCACAAAGTGTCAGCAAAGATTGTGGTGTTTGTTGCTCCTTCGTATCGAATTTTAAAGCTGTTAAAGTAATCTTCTTTCTTGCTGCTGATGTATATTAGAGGATCATTTGCCCTGTGGAAATCATTCTGTAATTTATGAAACCTCCCTTCAGCCTTTGCCAAAATGTGCATTACTAAATCTAGCTTATACCTATTTGTGAGCTTCAATGTTACATTGTAACTAGAAGCTGTATCATTTACACCAGCATCTACAGCTGTCAGCACAGCTTGTATTACTTCATGTATATTGGTTTCATTGTAACCAAGCTTCCGATTTTCAAGAACTTCAATCATTTTCCTGCCAGCATGTTCTGCATTTTCTGTTATTCTTTTGACCATATTCTTCTCCTGTGGATAACTGGTTTGTAAATATTGAGCTACTAGGGTTACCGGTTTCCAATATTGTTTTCGTTTAATCACGACATGCTCTTCATGAGAAAACACGAATGATGTATCTTCATAACTTGTTGTAAACATGGATACAGTTTCACTTTTAAACTTCTCCTGCAGTGATTTTTGTACTTGAATTCTAAAATCTACTTTTCCAGGTGGGATAATGCTTTTTCTTACTTCATTGGTCCATTCTTCCCACATTTTATCGAACTCTTTCTCCAATTGGATATCTTTATGTGCAGTAGTTTTCAGTTCTGAAGCCAAATCCTTGCTCTTCTTCATCAGCTGATCATCATAGCGTGATCTATTTTGATCTAGTTTGTTCAGAGCAATCTTTTGCTTCATCAGATCAGTACATTTTTTGTAAGTATCAGTCACAAGCTCATCCTTAATTGCTTCAAATCTTTTTACGAAGTTCGCTTTCCATTGACTCAACAATTCAGCATCATTTCCATTGAAATATGTTTCAATTTCTTTCCTGATCTCGTTGTATTGTGGCAAAACGCTTTGCTCAATATATGAGCAATTAAAATGAGAAGTTACGTCTGGACGGTTGTTAATTCTTTTATACATATTATTCTCCTCTTGAATAAGATAACTCCTCAGACTCCAAGTCCATTTCCCATACATTTCTTCCAGTTTGCTATAAGTTGCGAACTCTAGAGTGTTCTTGAAGCTAAACACGAAGTTTTCTGAGAGCAAAGCCGTCCATAGATCCTGAATTCGTGCTTTGAACGCTGATATCTTTACGACGTTGCGTTCTCTTTTAGCAATGTTGAGTAACATTTTTTTAATATCTTGAACATTTTGGCAGTAGCTTGGATTTGTCAGAGCCATTGGAGGATTTCCCTCCCAAAGATGAGCGAAGTAATGGATGTGGGAGTCCACGTCAAACCGGATCACCTCGTCAAAAGAATCAACATCGCACTGCTCCTGCTGACCGACAAAGCGTGTCATCTCATCGAGTTTCTCCTGAAGGCGTCTCCTGCCATCTTCGTTATTGTCTTGAGCGGTCACATCTCCTACGTTTTGATGCACAAACACGCAGCTCGGTGACAACTTAACCTGCCTCATTCTCAGAAACGCCTGCACAGCGATCTGTAGAATGTCTTGCATCTCTGATGGATTCTCTCCAAAAATGTTGATCACAGTCGCGTTGCCAAGGCCGATCACAAACGTAGCCAGCTAATTGGCATGAGTGGGTGTCGCATTTGATAGCTCTGGGGCTCGGAGCCCTTCTGTGTCGACTATCAACACAAAGTCAAATCCCAGCTGTGGTTAACTCTTCCTCCACCCTCACCAACTGCATGTAAACGCCTCGGGTGCATCTCCCAGCACCCACAGGGAACTGGAGACCGAACATGGCATTCAGCAGCGTGGACTTGCCACTGCTTTGCATACCCAGGATGGAGAGGACAAACAGCTTTTTGTCTCCGATTTTCTCAATCACTTTGTCCAAAACCGTGCTGATCCAAGAGAGAGGGACATGTGAGGCATCACCGTCCATGAGTTCAAGAGGGAACCCAGAGACAATCAAATCTGCTGCGATGCCTGGCAAAGCAGCTGAGCGTTTGTCAGTACCTTGTGGTGTCTGTGACTCTTTGTAGATCTGGCCAACTTCCCTGAAAAGGTGATCGATTTCAAAAGAAGAGGCACCAATTTCGACAGATATTTTATCCAGCTCTTGTTTTGTAGCACTTTCATTGCCTTTAAACGTAATACTTCGTGCCCAAGCCTGGTGATACTGCAGATTAAGTTGTGATAAGGACTCTGCAGACAGCCTATCTAAATATATCTTTAGCCAAAGCAGGAAGTATTTTTTTTACTTTGTCTTGCTGATGCTGCAGAATTTCAATCAATGTTCTCATTAGATCATTGAGATAAAATTATTTGAAAAGCTGGGCTCTCCGTATGTTTTTCTTTTCCTCTGAAATGTTGTCCATGTAATCCTCAATGCTTTGGTCTCCTTTAACTCGCAAGCGAGTTAATTCTTTGTTTTTCTTACACCACTCGTGCCACAATTTACCTTGAAGAGGCAGAAAAGTCTTCTTCATTGAAGACAGTGGTTTGTCCTCAAGAAGACTCAGTAAGTCGTCTGCCTTAGACTTGCCTTCTTTACAATTATCATCGTCTTCATCAACTGTGAAGCCGTGCTGTCTGGCAGTGTTTGAGCAATCATCGAGGTTGATCGTTTGTGTTGAAATGGCCAACAGATTATTGAGAGTTGATTTCAATTCATCCATTAAATCGGCCTCATTTCTGTTCTTAACAGCAATTTTCACTTTTGCCCTTGAATTTCCACCCTCGATTCTCTCTTGGTCAGCGCAAAGGCAAACAAAAGGCTTTGGAGAAGTCAGACATTCTTTCAAAATGAGTTTAGCTTCATCATTGTGATCACAATCTGACATCAGTATCACATTGATAAGAGGATATCTCGTGCAGAAACTGCACCTGTTTTCTGTGCCGTCTCGCATCTCCGTGCAGATTTGTGAAGGTTATGCAGTCATTGAAGACGTCGTCATCCCTCCCACTTGGACAATACCAGGCGACTTCTGTGACTCCTTCCATTAGGAGACCATTCCTGCTGCTGCCTTTGCAGTTCCTATTAAAGAAAACGCCATGCTTTTGCTTACTGAGCAGAGAGTTCAGAATCTGAGATTTCGATGTGGGCGATTCACCAAATCTGATGAAGGACACAAGAGGAGTGTCTGCGTTAACAATCTCATAGCTTTTGGTTTGCAGGGTGTTAGTAGATGTGTCACGGCATTTCCAGTTCTTGTTAATCTGTCGGAATGCCCAAAGAGGGAATTCTATTTCTGAGCTACGAGGATTTGGAACTAAAAGCGGCAGTGCAAACTGGCAAAATGAGAGTTTGGTGTAAATGTACTGCCTCACGAAATTGTCTCCACAATGGTAAATTGTCATTTGCAAATCCATGGGGTGAATGTGGGTTTGAGTGTTTGTTGCAAGCCCCTTTCTACGACTCAATGTATCATCATGCTTAAAAAAGTCGTCGTAATTAGAGTTTTCATTATTATTCATGGTCTCATAGCTTTCATTTTCACTCTGAACACGAACATACCGTGCTTCATAGTTACCCATGATCAGTTTCTGCAAAAAATAAGAGGCAAGTTCTTGTTCTGTGCGTGGGTGTTTTGTACGCATTGCTGACTTAACAACACACACATCCCCTGTGTGCATATTTTTTGAGTAGTATTTTTGTAGTGCCAGCCTTTCAAGCAGATTCATAAACCTTTCAGTCTCATTTGTTTTACTCTCAACTTCCCGTGTCTGCAAAATAGCCAATGCAGTCCCAGAAACAGGAGATTTAAAACTTTCCTTTGTCTGTTCGCAATGAATGGGGCTTCCATCATGAACCTGCACCACGTTTGACACTTTGGTGCAGATGGTTGCATTAGAAAGGGATTTCATGAATGTGAGATGTTCCTCTTTTTTCTTGGAGTTCCGTGCATTAGTCTTGAGCTCCTGTACTCAAATCGTTAAAAAGGACGTACGCCTGAGCCTTGGGAGCGCTTTGAGATCTGAGAGCCGAGTACTCGCTGTATGCCCTCTCCACTTCGTGCTGAAGGCAGTCAACGCACTTATCACGAACACCATCATCAGCATCGATGCCAATCATTTTATAAAACGCCTTTTTTTCCCACGATATACGGAAATGCGAGTCCAGTTCTTTGCATTCCTGACGGTCGACGTGAAGCAGCGTCTGTGCACTAGAAATTAGCAGAACATCGCGCAGTTTCTGTTTCCAGTAAACCTCGTCAAAACCCACGTCTCTGAGCATTCGTGCAAGTTCATCGTGAGCCTGGCTTGAGCGTTCCTCATCTTCCTCTCCAGATATTGCCTAGGGAAAGGCGCGTTATTATAATTATTATGTTCAACACGTGTAATGCGGGCGTAAATGGGCGGGGCGGATATGACGATCCGAGAGGGAGGAGTCAGGGTGACGTGGGGGAGAAGTTATAGCGGGGAGACAGGAAGCTATCTGGGTCAGTCGGGGGAGTGAAGGGTGGTGAACACGTTGGGTGGTCGCCGTGCCTCAGCCTGGTGGCTGAGGGGCTCATGACGGCGCCAGCCAGCGGGGTGGAAGAGAGAGTGGAGGATTGAGGTTGGAGATGGCGAGATAGCCACAGAGGCCACGAAGGGCTGAGGTAGGAAGTGGCGAGATAGCCACAGAGGCCACGAAGGGCTGAGGTAGGAAATGGCGAGATAGCCATAGAGGCCACGAAGGGCTGACGTTGGGAGGTGGCGAGATCGCCACGCACGGAGGAACAGGGAGCAGCGATGGAGCTGCTGTGGGGGCAGCCGGAGGGCTGCACCAAGAGCCTGCAGCGGAACTGCAGGAGCGTGGAAGGCTACGGGAGCGAAGGCAGATGTGGGGCTGCCAGGGAGAGAGTCTCAGGAGGAGTGCCGTGTGGGAAGGAGAACGCGAACCCCAAATAAAGGACACGGAGTCAGCGAGAAGCGTCTGAGTCCTTTTATTACACTGGAGTCAGAAGTGAAACGGCATCTCAAAACAACTGAGAGAAAGAAGAAAAAAAGAATATTCCTGCTACATCATCCGACGACGACGACCTTCCTCAGACGGTGGACCTGCCTGCGATGGAAGAGGAGATCCGTTCTGGAACGAGTACGGGTCCGGGTGAGCAAGGTGTCGCCGCGTTGGTGGACCTGTCAGCCGGAGGACGCCAACTTACGATGGAGACAGATGGCGATGCAGATGGGGACCTTGAAAATCGTGCTGGCGCAACTGTGTGATTTCACCACGCCGAGGACGACGACGGGGAGGCCCGGTGGTGATCCGCAGGCCTCTGCCTTTCCTGCGCTGCCAGCGCCATTGCCACGTGGCACGAAGACGCCATCTTGGGCGTGGCAGGGGAAAAACGGCGGGAAGCCGCCATCTTGTCTTCACCGCGGCGGGAGGACGCCGCCATCTTCAACATCGCGGCGGAGAGGCAGCCTTGCGCTGCCATCTGGAGGTGCCGCGGGGTGAGCAGCCTGCTGTGAGCTGCTGTTTTTCGAGGGGGTGCTGCGAGGAGAAGACGCCGATGCTGCAGCTGCTGGGGCGGGAGCTTCCCGTCCTGGCTCGGGTGCGTGACAACGGAGCCGTCAAGTCGCCGAACGAGTTCTGCGAGGCGTCTCAAGTTGCCACCCTGCCGTCCTCTTCTTGCTGCAGCCCCGGGCGAGTCATAACGATACGCACCCGGCCTTAACACACACCTCACTCATCTTTCGAGGGCCGGGGGGGCTATTTTGGTTTTCTCTTATGACTCGATTGTGCGGAGCGCGGTTCGGACTGTGTGTATATGTGTGTAATAACGATGAACGCGCTATCTGCTTGTTGCTTGGTGTCAATATAAGTGTGTGCGTGTGTTGAGAATGGACGGAGAGTCTGCTGTATTTGCTGAGTGTCAAATTGTGTGTGTGCGCTGCTGCGTGGAGTTGTTATCTTGATGGTGAAGTTAATTATTAACTTGGGAGCGTCGGGTATCTTGCGCTGTATTATTTGTGGGTTACCTTGTGTGATGGGCTTAATTGGAAAAAAATATATATATTTTTTTTGGGGTATTGTGCTGCGAGGTGCTGTGTGCGATGCGATTGTTGCAAGAGAGAGAATAATTGTGTTGTTGCTGCAAAGTTACGACAGGATTAATGGTGTGTTGGTTGCCTGCAGATCTGCTTGCTATTGTGCTTAAATGTACGCATGTGATCGCGATATGCTGATTGCATGTGCTGTTATACCGTTCTGTATGGTTATGGGGTGCGATGCAGTAGTTGACTATTGGAATTGAGATTGTTATTATATTGTGCGTACCTGTTGGAAATTGGTAACAAATTCGAGGGGGACCCAAATATTTGGTTGTATGGTTGTTGTGCACACGAGATTGCGTGTATATTATAGAGGGGGACCATAAAATTTGGTTGTATGGGTGTTGTGCACACGAGATTGCGTGTATATTATAGAGGGGGACCCAAAAATTTGGTTGTATGGGTGTTGTGCACACGACATTGCGTGTATGTTATAGGGGTAATTGAGCTTTTTGAAAATGAGGGTGCGCGATGACGCCGTTGTGGGTGGCTTAGATGTTAATGCTAATGGGATCGTAAATTGGCGCCAAGTGGCGTCGCGTATTCGGTTGATCGCATGCAACCACGAGTTGCTTGGCGAGTTGGGTTGTGTAACCAATGTGGTTGGTAAAATAATGGGTTAAAAATTCCACGATATGACAGCTGTGCGCAGCAAGCTGGGGCTGTGCGTCTATCGTTGGTGGGGTTGTTATAACGTGACGGGGGATGCGTCTTGTGACCCCCAGCTAAGGGAAGCTGGGGTGCACGAATGGAGAAAACTGGCCACGTGTTCGCACGTTGGGCCGCCATTTTGCGCGCACGCGGGGTATGGCGACGATGCGCTTTGCGGAAAGGGGGACGCCATTTTTGAGCGCGCGGGAAAAACCGGGGTGGGGCAAATATTCCATCTGTTATGCCTGCCATTGTTGATTGGGTGATGCACGAGTTGTGGTCACATCGGCCTATGGCTGATGGCTGACCTGACAGCCCGGAGGCGAAACCTCCGTGGTATGTCTTAAACTAATGGGCCATGTGCTCATATGGCTCGGGGAGTCATGGTTCAGTTGTGCGGTGGCAGACTGAACCTGGTGTGCCGGGGGCTCACGGGATCTGGGTTAGGGTGTTATTGTCTCTATAAGAGAACACTGCCCCGTGGGGGGAGTCCATGGGGTCTGGCATTGCCGGGGGATGAACCTTCCCTGGGCTATAGAGCATCGGACTATACGAGGCTGGTGTGTGTCCATCTCTGATGGGATAGTAAGGGAGGAGCATGGCCGAGTTGCTGCTCATCCCCGAAATTGCACTAGCTGAGAGTATGGTCAGTGGATGTTGCTGTGGGTTGACGACCACGGTGGGGGTTAGGGCGAGTTAAACGTTACCGCTGGGGAGCGTGGCTCTCTCCACGCGAGGGTGTGCGATTAGGTGTTTTGTTGGGTTGCTGAGAGTGACCGTGGGTACATGCTGTGTACGTGCGATGTCTGTGCTGGTCCTCAAGGGAGGACTGCTGGTGGGTAAGAGCAGGAAATTTTGTTGTTGTTGTTGTCACGTGTAAATAATATTGTTGTTAAAATGTAAATACTGGGGCATCCATTGCGTTATTTTGGGTATTTATGGGGAGTTTTTTTTAAGCGGGCTGGATTTACATCATCTCCACTACCCTGAGGCCGGGTGGCTGTCGTGTACGACATGCGGATGTGCGTTGTTGTGCTGTGCCTCAGGGGATTGGATTCTCCTTCTCGTCACAGATTCTTCAGCTCCCGTCGCACTGGGTGTTACCTGGTGTGCTAGCTGAATGAGGACTTGAAGGAGCAATTGAGCGCTGTTCGTCATTCTGCTCTACCACTTGCTCTTTGACGTTGGACTTGAGCCGAGCGGATGGAACTGCAACATGGACACGCACTAAAACATCACATTTCTGGGTTGTGCGCGTTGGCCGTTCTTGCGTGTCAGTTGCCGTTTTTGTTCATTGTGCCATTCTTATTCTTGTTGTTGTTGTGCGGAGGACAGGCCGGTGTTCTGTTCCAGTTCCTGATACCTCCCCTTTCGTTGCTTGTGTTGTTGTTGTTATAATCTCCGTTGTGTCTGGGGGACTCCTGATTGTGATGCCTTCGGCCGCATTATTTTGTTCTGTTTCAGCCGAGGACGGCTGGGATTTTCTCTACGGGGGAGGGTAGTGTAATGCGGGCGTAAATGGGCGGGGCGGATATGACGATCCGAGAGGGAGGAGTCAGGGTGACGTGGGGGAGAAGTTATAGCGGGGAGACAGGAAGCTATCTGGGTCAGTCGGGGGAGTGAAGGGTGGTGAACACGTTGGGTGGTCGCCGTGCCTCAGCCTGGTGGCTGAGGGGCTCATGACGGCGCCAGCCAGCGGGGTGGAAGAGAGAGTGGAGGATTGAGGTTGGAGTGGCGAGATAGCCACAGAGGCCACGAAGGGCTGAGGTAGGAAGTGGCGAGATAGCCACAGAGGCCACGAAGGGCTGAGGTAGGAAATGGCGAGATAGCCATAGAGGCCACGAAGGGCTGACGTTGGGAGGTGGCGAGATCGCCACGCACGGAGGAACAGGGAGCAGCGATGGAGCTGCTGTGGGGGCAGCCGGAGGGCTGCACCAAGAGCCTGCAGCGGAACTGCAGGAGCGTGGAAGGCTACGGGAGCGAAGGCAGATGTGGGGCTGCCAGGGAGAGAGTCTCAGGAGGAGTGCCGTGTGGGAAGGAGAACGTGAACCCCAAATAAAGGACACGGAGTCAGCGAGAAGCGTCTGAGTCCTTTTATTACACACGTGTGAGGCTTTCGCGACCAATATTATTCATAATCAACGTTTTTGAGTTTAGATCGCGTTATTTAGAAATGCGTCGTAACCCTCCACCACCCGATACCATTCTGGCGAATTGTCCGATGATGCTGGATGCAATTACCAGCGAAACGTCGTACGACTCAAATTGTAAATGTTGTGGTTTCACACTTCAACACACCGGTGGGATAAAGCAGTGAACTATTTGTATTTTGTCAACGTGACACTTTTTTACTGATTGGCCGTGTCGGGTGGTGGAGGGTTACGACACATTTATAAATAACGCGATCTAAACTCAAAAACGTTGATTATGAATAATATTGGTCGCGAAAGCCTCACACAATAGGAGACAGGTCCCATTAGGTTCCTTATTTTAAAGAAAACTACGAATTGTTCTCGAGAGGAAGATGGTACCTACACTTCTAA